TCTTCTTCTTCTTCTTCTTCTTCTTCTTCTTCTTCTTCTTCTTCTTCTTCTTCTTCTTCTTCTTCTTCTTCTTCTTCTTCTTCTTCTTCTCCTCCCTCCTCTAGACCTTAGGGAAGTTAACTGATGGTTCTTCCACCTGCAGTACAATTGATTTTTACTTATGTGACCGCTTTTCATACTTCGTTGGGCCCCTTGCTTTCAGGAAGCCACGTTCAGATTTGGAAGGTACTCTATGTCTTTATACTGACTAGAGTATTGTCAGGCTTTGGTATTTGAATAAATTTTGAATTTTGCCTTGGTGGCGTCCAAAGCCTATTGTTATCGATTTTAGAACCACAAAGAGAGCTTTAAGTGCTAGTTTGCACATGGGACCTCTGATATATTTTGCTCTTTCGAGAAGGCCAAATGTTCGGTCGCTCCTGCCCTAAGATCAGGGGTGTGTGGATGAAAGACAGTAGTTAGAAAGAGCAAGGAGAAGCAGTACTTGTAGAAATAGGAGCAAAGAAGAGAGGAGCCCTCTGGCCGGGGGTAGGCAGGGTTAGAGCGAGAAGGTGGAGATGAAAGCAGACGACAGAACATGTCTAGAGAAAAGGAAAGGGGGTGATAAGAGAACATTTCAGAGAAAAAAAATAATATTTCCGTCGCTGTCAGGTTTCGAACTTGAAACCAATTACATGTGAAGAGAACGCCTACCTCTAGACCACAAAAGCCCGGTATGTTTGGTTCTGATTGTTCTGTTTTTTTATGATCTTCCATGGATCTTTTTAAACCGATAGACAATACACACATGATATGTATTTCTATGTTCTATGAAATGATCCCAAGTAGAAATTCGTGTGCCGGTGTGTTTTTATTTGTTTGGTTGTTTTATGTTTTTGTTTCTGTTTTCTTTTTTCTCTCTCCATTTCTACACTACTGATGCACCAAGGTACATGTGCATGCTTCATAAAACGACTCCCACCATAAAGCCGTGTGCGTGTTTGTTTATTTGCTTGGTGCTTTTGTTGTCATCTTATTTTTGCTTTAATGATACACGCACGTACATCTATTCTTCTTAAATTAATGACTCCCATTAAATTTCGTGTGCGTGTTTGTTTGTATATTTGCTGGTTTGTTTGGTGGGTTTTTTTTCCCCATTGTATTAGCACTTTATTGATACACACACGTACATTTATGTTTAATAAAATAGCACCAATTATAAATTTATGTGATCGTCTGTGTGTGTGTGTGTGTGCGTGTGTGTGTGTGTGTGTGTGTGTGTGTGTGTGTGTGTGTGTGTGTGTGTGTGTGTGTGCGTGTGTTCGTGTGGGAGTATTTGTGTGTATGTGTTTGTGTGTGATTGTATGTTTGTTTGTATGTGAATGTGTGTGTATGTGCGTGTGTGTGTGTATGTGTGTGCTTGTTTGTGTGTGAATGTGTTTGTGTGTGTGTGTGTGTGTGTGTGTGTGTGTGTGTGTGTGTGTGTGTGTGTGTGTGTGTGTGATCATGTGAGTAAGAGTATGATCGTGTTGGAGAATGACAAACCAATTATGGAGAAACAATATCAAAAGGGAAAACAAAGATGAAACGGAGAATTGCAATCGTAGTACCTAAACTGAAAATGATGACATCCACCTGAAGAGGACAATGTAAAGAGGGAAAATCAAAAGTTCAAACTCTAAGAACATTCCGGAGCCTGTTTTCAAACTTGTTACTGAGCTAACAGTATCTTAAAAGAAATTTTTCTTTAAAATTCTCCCTGCGACAGCTCGTTATTGCTGTACGCTGTGATCTACTTCTCTCTTTCTTGTTCCTCCTTATGAACACATTGGCGGGAGATTTGACTGAGCTCTAGTTAAGCTTACTGAAAATCGAGACGAAATGTGACATGTTTGGTCTAATTGTATTCGATACTGTAGGCGATTACACCAAGTTCAACTGTAACAAAGAAATATAGTAAAATACTAGTCGCTGTTCCCCAGTCGCTGTTCCCCGGTAAAAAAGACGTCAGCAGTCGCTGTTTCTCGGCGCTGTGGGTCGAACAACGATTCTCAATACTGGTCCAATATGAAGAGCACCATTTGGCTCTATTTGAAGCCAAATAAAGGGAAAGTGGGTAATATATAAGGGTTGCGTGATCACTCCACTATGGCGAGACGTGTTATGACCTTTGTCAAGAACAAAGATCGACAGCCTTGGCAGCGCTATTTCTAGTATTTTGCATTTCAAATCTATGTCGGCTATCAAATTCCCTGGATAGTTCAAATTCTTAAATAGTTCTAGGTCTAGTGTTTAACACCTGAGTCTTGTTTGGAAAAGTTTTGTTTATTTTGTTATGTTATACAGGTGGAGTTAGATCTATTTCGTTATTTCGTTGTTTTGTTTTTGTTTTTCATTTTGATTGCCTTGACTTTTTTATCAGTTTGCTGCCTATAAAGGGGGGCGTGGAAAGCCTTGCTCTCCACTCGCATCGTTGCTGTAACTACCAAGCAATCCATACACTCTACAGTCGTTGAGAAGTCAAGATGTCTGCTGCTCTGCGAGTTTACCTGCTGGCTTTCTTCACTATTGCATGTGTCATGCAAATGGCTTTGGGCGGTAAGGACTACTCGATTGAGGCATCATCATCATCATCATCATCATCATCATCATCATCATCATCATCATCATCATAATCCTCATCATACATCATCATCATCATCATCATCATCATCATCATCATTGGCTTCATCAACATCAACATCATCGTCATCAGCATCATCGTTTTGGGGTTTCGTTGTCTAGAGGTACGATATTTGCATTTCATTCAAAAGGTCCCGGGACCGAGACCTGACCGAGATATTTAAAAACTAATTTTGAAAAAGATCCTTCATCTCTTATTCCCAAAATCAGTCGACACCCAGGAAAAGGTGAAAAATAATATGTGCCAAAATTGAAAATATTATTATCAGTACCTTTGATATAGGAACGTGCCCTTTGGCAAAGGGGCCCTATGACGTTGAAAACTGGTCACACTGCAAGTTGAAAAACCAGCAGTCGAATGTGGCTGAGATCTAGCGTGGGAACGCGAAGTAGTAGTAGTAGTAGTAGTAGTAGTAGTAGTAGTAGTAGTAGTAGAAGAAGAAGAAGAAGAAGAAGAAGAAGAAGAAGAAGAAGAAGAAGAAGAAGAAGAAGAACAACAACAACAACAACAACAACAACAACAACAACAACAACAACAGCAACAACAAAAGCAAGATCATCAGCAGCAGCAGTACCAGCAGATGCAGCAGCAGTACCAGCAGAAGCAGAAACATAGTTGTCGTGGCAGTTTTTTCTAGATCTCGTAAGTCTACCCCACTCTTTTCCCCAACGCAATCGGATATTCCGATCACCTCTGCTCTTCTTTAACTTTATAGCCCCATCCCCCTCCCCCTCCTCTGTCATTCTCTCTCTTTTCTCTCTCTCTCTCTCTCTCTCTCTCTCTCTCTCTCTCTCTCTCTCTCTCTTTCTCTCTCTCTCTCAACTAGGGATTGGCAGATACCAGTACCCAGTACCTGAACTCCCGGTTCTACCAGAGGAGGTGTCAGTACCGGCACTAGGCCTCCCGTACATGTACCGGGTCTGAGAAAGAGCCGACACCAATGGGTTTTTTAAAAGATCTATCGGCCCCGGGAAGCGTACCGTGTGTAAGTCCAGGCAATAGATTTACACTACTAGACACTAGATACAGTACGTCCATCTTTCGCCTTGCTGCACGATTGGCACATTCGGTAGCGGCGTCCGCCATGTTCGAGTTGGAAAGCCATGTGAAGGAGTTCATGCTAAAAGCATTGGGCTAGGCATGTTTTCTCTCTCTCATACATGAATAGGCCAGACTTGGTCCTTGTTGATTTTTTGTTTTTACATGGGCGCCGCGGTGTACTATATCTAGAGTACAAGTAGAGATGGGCGGGAAGCGCGTTTTTCTTCCCGAGCGAGAAGACCGAGAAGCTGACCTACTTCTCACCGGGACCGGTCCCAGTACCGAGAAATGCTTCTCCTCTCGCGACCAATTTCTCTTCTCGCGCCGTTCACGGGTAGCTCGTTTAGCGAGGGGGGGGGATGTGGGTGGCACTGATCGAGGCGCGAGATGCGAGACTCGAGACGCACAAGTCTCTGACCTCACCCACTGGGGTCACTTTCAGTACCTGTACTGGTACCTGCGGTTCTCGACACCCAGTTCCGGGAAAGGACCGGTGCAGTAACTGGGTTCACCGGTACCTCCCAGCACTACTCTCCACTATGATCCAACAGCCATCTTTATTCTCCTCAGCTCCAGCTTCGAGTGACCCATGTGCTGGCTGGGAGAACCAGTGTGGTAACGGCGCCTGTGCTGTCACTAATGGCGTGCCGTCCTGCAAGTGTGATGACGGTTATACCGGATACTCCTGTAGTAAGTGTTCATTCATGACGTATAGAATAAACGCTTAAAAAGAGCAGCTTCCCTCTGGAACAGTACTCGTACATTGGCATCTACCACTGGCACGCCCATATTTTAGAGAGAGGAAGAGAGAAGTGAAGTAAAATAAGTGTATGGGTTTAACATTTCTTTCAACACTATGAGGTAATTTAGGAAGAGAGAGAGAGAGAGAGAGAGAGAGAGAGAGAGAGAGAGAGAGAGAAGGAACATGGGGAGAGAAGGGGGTTTCTTTGGGGATTTTTTGGAGGGGGGAAGGGGTGTAAATATTCTATCTATCTATCTATCTATCTATCTATCTATCTATCTATCTATCTATCTATCTATCTATCTATCTATCTATCTATCTATCTATCTATCACATTTTGTCTCTTAATTCTCTACCTGTATATTATTATGGTCTGGGGTTGTTTTTCTCTCTCTCTTTGAATGGCTATTAAGCAGTTAGGTTAATTGTTTGCCTTCCCCATTCATCATCTCATCCCATCAATTAGGCGCAGCCCCTTTCACCTCATCTCCACCCCTCGGCTACCAGAGTCAATGACTTAATTCTCCCAAACCCTCCTATCCTCAGCTACAAACGTGAAGGACCCATGTGCCGGCTGGGAGGGACAGTGTGGTAATGGTGCCTGTGTTGTTTCTAACGGCGTGCCGTCCTGCAAGTGTCAAGACGGCTATACCGGATACTCTTGCTTATCCCCTGTTCAGGGTTGACTGGAGCAGCAAACTGCAGCACAGAAAGCCAATAATCTCTTTTAAGGGGAAAGTACAACCAAAAGTGTTATAGAGATTAAAAATTGTTCACACTGATGACTGTACTTTTTTGCAAAGAAAACATTTATCATTTTTGTTTCTTTTACACAAAACGAATAAATAGGAAATTGAAATAAGAATTTAGGGCTGCTTACAAACGGGCTCATTGAAAATCAGAACCATCAACTTGAGTAAAAATTGACAAGTAGCAGACCAACGAGGGCCCCATCCAACATAACCACAGGTTATGTATCCAGCTTCCAATAGATGTGCACACCAAGGACACACCGTTATCTGACGTCAGAGTTCTTTGACATGTTTTCAAAAGCTGAAGATACAGTATCTACTATATCGACATATGCAATACAAAATAACACAAATAACAACAAAAATACCAACTGTAACAACCATTACAGATTCAACAGCATGACCATCAATAAAAACAATAAAAACAGTAAAAACAATATCGGAAAGAGCTTTCTGGTTTGAATCAAATCTTAAAATCTTCGAAACAAAGATTAGCAGCACAACTCAAAACTCAGGGAACTTTTCAGCTTGTTTGATATCTATTGAAGATGATTCGGAAGAAGAACATTATGATTTTTACATTGTGTTATATTCTAAAATTCGAATAAAATATGTTGGCAAAGAATATTAACAACATTTTTAAACAGTTTCTTTTTTATTACAGGGTGTCCACTCAAACAGTTCGTTAGAAATAAATCGGGATTGAATATACCAAGAGATAACTTTAGCAATCATTCGTGCCTCGGCCTACAAAAAAAGAAGAAAGCTAAGTGTCGAAAGAATTGGGATTTGGAAGAAAAACTGGGAGAAAAAACCCTTGTTTACTTAAGTACTAAACGTATGTCCCTCCCAGACAATAAACTCTTGGTTAAGATCACAGATCAAGGTATGGACTCTGAATAGTTTTGGGCTAGTTAATAATTATTTATGGCCTCTTTGACATAATTTCAGATTAATAATAATAATAATTGCATTTATATAGCGCATATTCATGCTCAAGAGCTTGCTCTATGCACGTTACAACTATTATTACCCCAGCAGACCCTCTGAGAACACTCAGAAACATTCTCAGCTTACGCGGAAGCACACAGTGCAAGCTGCGGATTTCACGCGCTCAAACACTATCAAACTGACAAGATCTTTCACTGTCTATAGCTGGGTACTCATTTCCGCCTGGGTGAAGTGAGGAAAATTTGTGCAAAGTGCCTTTCCCAAGCACACAACGTCGGACCCCTGACCGGACTCGAACCCACGACCTTACGGTTGCAAGTCCGAGAGCCTAACCACTAGGCCACCGACGTCACAATTTAAGTAGCAGGAAAAACACGACCGAGAAATTCAGAAAGAAAGCCAAGAACGTGTTGTGACCTTCGTTTGGCGAGTTCAGAAATAACAGATGTTTAGCTTCTGATGACATTTAAAAAATTAAAGAAAGAAAAAATGAAAACTAAGAACAAGTTGTAAGACAAACCTAGTTACTACGTATTCTTTTCCAGGTGTCAGGTCTGGCGAATACATTAACGATCATGGCACCCTATTCCGTCTTGTTTGTCTTCCTGTTAGCTGAGCTCGGTTTCTCTCTTGAGTTTTTCGTTGCAAAGTTGTTCAGGCCATCTGTGTGTGTTGTTCTTTGTCTTCCTCTGCTCTTCTTCTCCCTCTATCTTTCCACACAGAATATAAAAAAATAATGATGTTGTCTAAACACAGCTGGCAGCACAGCACGTTCATGCCAGTTCGTTGTGGCAAAAAGACGTGTCAGAAGTATTCTTTTATGTGATCAAACTGAGTTGACGACAACCATAAGCAGTATCCTTTAAGGAAGACTTCATCGTTATGAAACCCCCAAACAGGTTTAAAAAATCAAAATATACATAAGTAATTCATATAACACATAGAAAGATCAAATTACACTTACGAAATCCAAATAGATCTACACTTATCGTCAAAAGTAATGCAAATTCACTTGACACAAGAAGAGGAGAGAAGCACCCAGTTGTGCAGCTGTCCAGGGTCTGGGCTAGAGTTGGTTGAGGCGTCCCAAAGGTGTTTTATTGGGTTCACCACTGGTGATCTGGTTGGGTGAGGCATGGTGGGTATGTTGTTCCGCACCAGGAACTGCTGGGTAGCACGTGCTGCATGAGCCCGGGCGTTATCCTGCTGAAAGAGGTGTTTTGATGTCTCTGGAAGATGGAGCAGCATAAGGCTGCAGGACTTTGTTGATGTAGCGCTTTGCGGTCACTCCATTGCCACGTCCAGGTTCTAATTTTTGGAAGATTATAATACTCATGAAAACAACATTTTGTTAGCCTCGTGACTCAACCCCCGACCTGGGGGGAGGATGACTCTGTTTCGGGAGTCATTACCTGGTTTGGCCATTTAGTCGCCTCCTGCGACACGCTCGCACCACGTCAGTCCTATTCTTTTCAATGCCGGGACTGCACGGCTGGCCCAGTGGGTAGCTATTTGAAAAGTAAATTTGGAAGCAAATTTGTTGTTTGACTCGTAAAAACAAGGAAACTAACCATGGCAATGCAAAAATCAAGAAGTTGTTTTACTAGAATTAGTAGCAACACATTGTAGCACTTAGAATTATTATTGTCGTAACAAACTCCTGCAACTTTTTGAAAACTTGAGCTGACAATAACTAATGGTTCCTATTAGGCTACAGAACAGGGAGATTCTGTTAAACAGGGAGATGAGCAGGTGGGATCGGGTTTGATGAACACAATGGCATGAGGTCCCTCTTTTTGTCCTTTGACACACTAGCTGGTTCACTGAGCACTGATACGTTCAATAGCTGTTCATTTGGTTCGTCTGATTTTCGTCCGTGTCACATTTGGTCAACTCAGCACCCTTTCTCGTCGTAGCGGTTGATAATGGTGTCGTTCTCAGTTTGAACAAATTTATAGCCCTGATCTTTGTCCATTTAATCTTCTCGCTATCTTCGTCAATACCTAAGTTCTTGAGTCTTCTTAAAACTGCTTGGAAGTCAAAGAAATCTTTGTGCAGATATTTCCTTGACGTTGCAGGGAATCTTTCCCCTTCGTGCTACGCGGAGGACAGTCGTCCACTGTTCTGGTGTGAATACTGCACTGGGATTCGTTTGGCAGCATGGCTGATCACAGAATGCACGGAGTCATTTTCTTTCTAAGTTTGTCTGACCTCTAAGAAGCAGTGCTCAAGTCTCTGTAGAGAGGGCAGTGTTTTCAGACAGCTAAAAGGTCATCGTGATGTACCTATTCCGGTTTTTGCCCGTGCAGTTGTCATAAACAAAATGAAACACTGTTTTGCTTTGAGCTACATCATCATCATCATCAGGTACCAGATCTGTGGCAGACATCGGCGATCATGGTTCTGCATTCATTCCTTTGCTGGGATGCCCTAAAAAAGCTACGTTACTCTGATCTTTCACCGTAACCTATCCGTTTAGATTCTCTGGGACTACCCCTGCCTTGTTTGCCTTCAATTTTGCCAGTGAGAGCTAGATGTTTTATACCTTTATGTCTGTTCAGGTGTCCCCAAAACTGCCTTTGTCTTTTCCTAATTGTTTCTAACAGTGAGCGTCCCACATGGGCTACATCAAGCACTACATCTGATTTTAGTGCCATAATTCAGAGGTAATCTGCTTTTTAACTGCATGAAGAAACGTGTCTTTGGAACACTTGTCATTCTTTTACAAGAATCTCTTGATACTTTGAGATTGAAGGACATATCTTTCCTTTTCTTCTGAGCAAATCCTGATACAGCCTGTACATTGTGCTTAGGCTCGATCCATCTTCTAGGTACGTCCTGCCACTGGATTCACAACAGTAATTGGATGGAACTGTCGGGAAACTGATGGTATGGACCTTAATGCCCTGAACTGTTTCCTCGCCTACCGTGACACTCTCTGATCAGCAGAAACAACACCCACTTCAGTAATTTTCTCAAAAAGCTCCGTAGACAACATCCTGTTTAATAATTTATGTGCTCTGTAAAAAAATTGCGACATACAGCTTGTCGTCAACCACCAGTTCTGCAAAGGCAGTACAAAGAAGCTTTCCGCCCTTATTGTGCATTCTGTGTGCAAACGCGAGTAGGAATGACCTTTTGACAAATGAGACAATGATTGGATGCTTATGTCTCCCACACTTCCAATATTCGGAGAATATACTTGATTTCTTTTGTGCATCCAATTTCTGTTGGCATGTGGGACAAGTTTTGTTACAGCCTTGACCAATGACTTTTGAAGCCACTTTCTTCCCTTTGAAACCAATATGTGCCTGCCCTCTGTTTTTGCTTGATTTTGTTTCCGCTGGTCTGGCTCGCATGATCGTTTTCTTGGCACTTTCTTGTTGACATTTTCCGTGTACTCTGAGAACACCTCGGAGAGGACGGATGATGGTCGTGGCCACACTGGATTGGTTGAGTTGGGTGGGAAAGAGTCATCTTGAAAACCCCCTCAAGTTGGTGTGCGGTGACATCATCAATTTAAAAGGGGTTTGATTCCACTGATCGGTCTGTGCTGTGTTGGGTTTCAACTGAGATCGTTGATGTAGCAGTGGCAGAAGACGAAGACGAGCAAGTGCGATGATCTGGGGCCTTGAAACTTGGTGTACTTGTTGCCTTTACTAGTTGGTAAAGTGGTAGATAGTCGTCCACATCACTGTCAGAATCGATGGCAGGAACCAATGCTGTGCGGTTGACTGACGTTTTACATTAAAGTCCAATTGTTTTTAATTCAGCGTCAGATCATTCGGTGTCCGTGTCACACATATCGTCATTCCCTATCATTCGTGTCAATTCCTGTAATCCCTGTATATCCATAATACAATTATGCAACTCAACACAGCGAGACCCAAAGAAGGGAGGCGTTGTTCAGGAAGACTCCTGTATCTGGTACATACAGGACTCTTGGACCACAAAAACAGTGTAGCAAATTCCTGTATGATACCTTGCAGGAATTTAACCGGACAATATGTAGCAAAAAAAACGGGAGCAGGAATTTTCTAACTTTACTTTTACTTAACGCACAAGTTTTATCGTTTGACACAAGGTATGTCGTTCCCTGCATTCAATTTTTTTGCAAAAAATAAAAACACGATGTTTTGGAAATTTTGTATATACAGGACGAACTGTTGATACCAAAGATCAGTAAGGCTCAGATTTTGCGGTCCACTGCAGTAGAGGAAGGACAAGAGCTTGACTCCTATGTCTGTGATGTCCTTTACATTTGCATCTGTTTGTCCCAAGATAGTGATCTTCTGTTGCCAATGCTCTGACTTTTGAAACAGCTTGAAAGCCTTAAACTTACTCATGCATAAGACAGCAGACTTTGTGTCACATCCTGACAGGGCATTTACAAACAGGATGCAGCAGCACATGTTCTCACCTATGGTCATTTTAGCAGCTTGAATAGAAATTATTTGGACGTTACTCCGATTCTTATTATGTAGTCTTCCATGTCCTTGCTCACATGGCACTGAAGCATTTTTATTACCCAGTATGTCTGTATCATTACCCAAGACAACCACCGGTAAACCTTCAGCTGCAAACTGTAACACTTTCCTCACAATGGTTGTGTCCGCATCCCCTTCTTCTTTGGCATGAGCAACACAAATGCCCTCTTCTTCCAATGACGACCCTAAGAGT